TTCAGACTCTTTACCTCTTTTGTATGAGATACAAGTACCACAGCAGCTTAATAGCTTTTCTTCCACTTTTGGTCTTGAATTCCTCAGCTTAGCCGATTTCTCATTTCCTAAAGATGATCAATTTGCCTTTTGGAATCCAGAATTCGGGACCATATTTCTTAGAGGTTTTTTGTAAATTAGTATGCGCTCAATTGATAATAATTTATTGTTATCCACGGTCTTTTCACAAGCTCTGCCTGTATAGGGTGGAGCACACATCACCATGTGTACCTCTGAAGGGTTCCATGTATCCCATGGCACGGCAGTCTCCTGTCCCTGTGTCTCTCTGCACTCCCTTCACTCTGTAATCATCCTCACCTTTGTCTCTGCTTTAGAGGCAGATAAATCTTTGCTCTCCTGTTCACTGGCTTAAGTAAGTAAGTAACTGCTTAAGTCCTTGGCTCTCCTGCCTCCATCAGCCCTGCCCCTCCAGTCAGGGCTCAGCAGTTCATGGTCCACCAGCTGGGAGTGGAGCTTAAAGAGGAAAAGGGCTATTCATGCGGATCAGGTGATGGGCACTCCTACAAAGCCTCGCCTGCAGAACAAAGCATTTTTGGGACTTGCCAAGTTGCCTCTAAGGATGCAAAAAACCACCTCCTGTGCAATTCCTTCCCTTAACAGAGAGAATTCAAACCTCCCCAGACAGCCATGTGGTGCCTGTGATTATGTGGGCACAGTGCAACCTTCGTGTCTGCTGTGCCCTTGGAGAAGCTGGCAGAGAGGATCACAGCTGGTTTTAGCCTCCTCTCTGTCAGCTTTAGCTAAAAATTAATAGCACTCCAACTTTCTCCATACCCTCAAACTTGGACAGTCAAGGCCTTCCCCTGTTGCAGTTTTCAAATATTCACATTCTGGTTAATAATATAATTGAGATGTTTCCAGTGATTTAAAAGACTTCTGACTAAGCTCTTGGCATAAAGAGGAAGAAGTGAAAGCCAGAGTCAGGGGGGAATCAAGAATTCAACAGAAGCCTTTGAACCGGCTTGTGATTTACATATGAATAACATCGATCTGCAAAGGGAATTGTGTCCAGTCATCCCCAACAGAGGCGCCAGGCAGGAGCTGGTTCCATGCTGGGAGTCTCCCCCAGTTCCTACTAGGATTATTTTCTCCACCACGCTTTTGTGACTGTGCACTTCTACCTACTTACCCAGGATCTCACAGAGATGTGAATTCCCTTGATCTCAAGGGCAGTGAACCACAGAGTCCAGAGTGGCTGTGGTACGTAGAGCAGGGGTAGATGCATAGTCCTGGAGGCCTGGGAGGTGACACATGCTGATGCAGGAGCGGGGTCAGGAGCAAGGTGCTAAAGTGCCTGTGCAGGCAGTGGGACAGCCTGGCAGGGACATCTGCTCTGCTGCCAGGCAGTGCTCTGGGCTGGGTGCTGACCCTGTGACTTGCGTCAGCTCCTTGCGTGGCTCCTTGTCAGTTCTGCTCCTGCAGGTGTTGGGGATGAAGGATTCTGTGGGTTTTTGCTCAGAGGAGGCACTCGAGCATAACGTGCAGCCTGTAAACTGCTTAGAAGCCTCTAAGCTTTACTTACTGTTCCTTCTGGGGTAACCAGCGTCATGTGCCAATCTGACTAATGCTTTTTAAAATGCAGTAGATTAAAGGTGAACGCGTTGTTTTGGATTTAGCATTGGAATGACAGCATTTCTCATTGCTGTTCACATACAGCTCGTCAGGGATGATGAACACTTCCTCTTCCTGAGCTCTGCCAGTCATCCCTGAACGTGACAACAGCAGTTCAGTGATTTCACTCCTGCCCTTTTCACACACATCCATAAAACACACCTGCATGCTGTCACCCCAGCTTCACATGAGAATCTAGCAGCAAGCCAAATCTTGAATTTTCATATCTACATGTTCTGGTTTTTTATATTTCTGTTTTTTTTTCTGAATGTCAGCTTGCACAGGTTGATGATCCATCCCTACAGGGGGTCTGTAGCTGCACACCTTCACTCCCAGCTGCAGTAATGTTAGCAATGACTGTAAATGAGGCTGAAACTGTACTGTAATCCCACTGGAGCTGTGCAAACCTTGTTTGTATCTGGGTGTCACTCCAGATCCCTCTGATTGTGTAGAAGGTAGCAACCAGTGCTTTCACAATATATCAGGACCCTTCCTACTCACTTGGCTCCTTTCCTTTCTGGTTACTGTTCCCTGTGTTTTACTGCTTCAAAACTTATCTTTTCCAATTGCTCCAAAATATTTTCAGTACTAATAGCTTTCAACTGAACAAGGCTTTGATTTGGGATTGCTTACTTTGGTTGCAGGGAAAAGAGGGGAGGTATTTTTATTTATGAGCACTCTGCTGTCTGTCCCTGCAGTATTCTGCAGGACACCTCATTCCTGTCTTGCTTGAGCTGGTTTAGACCAACCTTACATTCACAGCAATTTATATTTAATCTGCTGTCCAGATCTAGTGCTTCTGAGCCACTTCAGTCCACGCGCCTCCTTCTCCTTCCTATTTTGGGCTCCTGGTGCTTTGACGCTTCTTCTGTGTAGCTCAGCCTTCCAAGCTTCAGCTTATGTGAAATCCTCAAGACAGCCTGCTTATGTCACCATCATCTATCAGGGACAGCCACAAAGAAAACTGCCGATCAGTAGAGCTGCTCTTGCTCACATTCCTCTGGAAAGGGACAATGTAAGTTTAGGGGGAAGACAGACATGCTGCAGAGCTGTGTGTGTGACGTTATGACATTTGAATCATAGAAAATAATGTAAAACTCATCTGCTACAAACCCCACCTTTGAGTACATGAGTGTTATATAAAGCAGTCGTTTACTCCGGTGTTAGAATAAAGAACTGTCAGCCATCCTGTGCAGATGTGATGGCTCTTCTCAGAAATAGGAAATGCCTTTGTTCACAAGATGAGGTGAAAGAGAACCTGTTGAGCTTGCCTGAACATATGTCCAGGGTATCAAAACACACAAACAATGTCCATCTCCTGCCCTGCTTTGGTACAGCCTGGATTTATCCCATTCCCCTTTTTTGTCCTTCTGGCAGAGTTGTTGAAGGCTCTAACTGAGGAGTTGCAGCTCTTTCTCTTGCTCTGACAGAATTTTAACGAGTGTCACCTGAAAGGCTGTTTTGCATAAAGGCTGGAAACATTTGTCCAGCTGCAAATGAACTGTCCCTGCCCTGGAGAAAACCTGGGGCACTGTCCAGATCTTGGTCATGCATTCAACGGAGCCTGGCAAGTGGCTCTGCTGCTGGCCTTGCTCAAGTCACCTTTTCACTCAGGTCACCTCTTTCCTGCTCCTGCCCTGCCAAACTACAGGGACAGGACTGGACTGCTCCTGCAGTACAGATGAGAGACAACTCAGAGGTTCAGCTGCAGCACAGGCTCCTCAGCAGGTGCCAGGAGCAGGGCACAGCACAGCAGCTCTTCTGCCCAGAGCAGCAGGGACCTGGCCTTTGTGAGAGCAAGGTGCCACTGCAGAACATTTGATGCAGTGTAACACCTCCTGTTACTAATCAAGTACCTGTTATCTCTCTCTCCAGTCCTCCTGGCCCTCACCAGATGTGCATCCTATTTGTTTCTTAAAAAGCCCTGCACCATGCTGTTCAATAATGTGAGAATATTGTGCTTGAGGAGCTGGATGCAGCACTGCTCTCTTAAATGGCTGTTGTCCCGTGTTGCAGATTAACAAGATTGCACTGGGTTTGTAATCAACAGCAATTAACTTGCCACAGAGGTTGCAAGATAAGTCTTTTGCCCACATCACAGGCTGCTCTGATCTTTTTCACAGCACCCAAAGCCCTAGTCCCGATGTCTTGCACAGACACACAGAGCTCTTTTCTGTGCAGCACCTGCAGAGCTTGGGGTGCTTGCAGGGCTTGGTCCCCCAAGCCAAAGTCACCACTGGGGAGTGCAGAAGAAGAGAGCCCAGAGCTACTGGTGTCCCACAGAAACCTGCTCTGTGTCCTGCCAGCCTGACCAGCTGCAAGGTGGGTACCTACTGGACTGCTCCCAGCAGCAGTGAGGTGCAGGCCAGCCTGAACTCCCCACAGACCCCACAGGGGGGATCACAGCATGCTCACTGCCTTTCTACCCCAACCTGGCATTTCTCTCCCTTTTTCTTATGATGGAAAGAGCACCTGGAGCACCTGCACCTGAGCCTCCATCCAGGGACCTACTAGACTTCAGTTGAATTTTCTTTTAAAAAGATCTGACATCCCTTCTGACCCTCCACTTCTACACTTCCTGGGCTGTGCTGCTGTAGTGAAACCCCTCCAGGAGATCCACATTGCACTGGGGAGGTCTCTGACCTCTGGGATGAGGTAGCAGGCCAGGTTGCTGCTTAGGGAATGTGCCAGCCCTGGAGCAGAGCTCAGTGCTCTGCCCTTCCAGAGGAGGCAGGGATCCAGCTGACCAGCCAGCTGCTTGTGCAGATAATTGCAGTATCAGTGAGATAGAATTAGATTATGTTTATTTCCTGATCAGTTATGTTCAAGCTCTTACACAGACATCTTTATTATGTTAAATTGAAATTAATTAATTGCTTACTCTGGGAAAAGATTAACATCTAAAAGCTACATAAGACTTTCAGGGCTTGTCTATTTAGTAGTTCTTGACTTGCTTCTACAAGGCTTGATCTTGCCAAGTCAAGAATGAAATGTAAAGTGCATTCACTACAAGTGAACTGGATGTAGCACCTGAGTTTGTACTCACTTCACACACTGCTGGTAATTGCCTGCTTTGTTTTTGCTGGTGCCTGAAGTGTCCTGGATATAAACTAGCTCAGATGGTGGATGACAAGGACATCTGTGATGTGCCAGAGAAGGGCAGCCAGGAGGAGGTTCATTTTGGGGCAGGACAAGGGGTAATACATGGCATAGTATCTCTTTCCCACATCAGAAGTGCTTCTGCCAAGGAGTATTTCCCTCCTCCTTCCCTGCCCACTGCTGGGAGACAGGTCCTGTCCAAGCAGATCTAGCAGATTTCACAAATGTGAAAAAATGTCTCCATTTTTACCTTAATTGTCCTGAAATTTCAAGGTTTTAAGGTGTCATAGTTGTCCAGGTAGCTGGAAGAGAGACCCTCTAATCCATGTTCTCTACATCCACGAAGTAAATGATGGAGCAGCAATGCTCTGAAAGACTCCTGCCCATGCAGTATCAGCAATATATCTCCAAGTAGAGAATGCTGCTCCTGCAGAGGCCAACAGGATATAGTGGATAGGCAACCAAATCAGCTTCTGAACATGGGGCTCACTGCTCAGAGTCTGTACTTTTTTAACAGCTTTTGGAAGTAGATTTTCATGGTTGATCACAGTTTCTGTAGCCTGTTCTCCCTCTGCGTCTTCCTGCCTGTTCCCATATCAGCACAGATATTTTGACAACCCAGAGACCGGTGTTTTATTTCTGTCATTCCACTTTTTCACATGTATTATTGGATCAAGATGGTTGTCTCTGTTTTACTTCACTGAAGCTGCTATAACATAAAAGCAGCACTTACCTCCTCTACATGTGTTTATCAGGAAAATTCTCACCCCCAAAACAGAGTATAACTTTATGTTATCTGTGTTTCCTCCACTTTGGTGAAAAGAGGTTTTCCACTTGGAAAGCCACAGAGATGGACATGCCCTGGGTCAAATGCCACAGAATTATTTTCTCTTTAAGCACAGATCTCAAAAGGCGATTTGCATCCCACTACACAGGTTTTCCCCAGGCTTTTCATGCTTTTGGGTAGAACAGGCTCCATTTTTGTGGGAGTTTTCTTTGGAAAGGGATTCCAAGGACCTGTGCTGTGCAGAGAAGGTGTGACTCCAGCTCTGCAGCAGGTCAGGTTTGCTGTGAGCACCAGTAAGGCTGTCCCATCTCCTGGCACTCAATACTATTAGATCCAGAGCAGGATGCAAGCCCCTTGTCCCCAGGTACCCTTGGCTGACAAAATAAACATGAATTCATTCTGGTTTTCTCACCTCTCTCCTGTTCATGTCAGAAGTGAGACTGAAGCTGTATGAGCAAATTCACCGTGTCCACCAGATTCTGTGTTGCATTAATACTGACTAGTAACTAAAAATAATCTCCTTTTGAGTGTCATAACAGTAGCTGCTATTTAACCCCTCCTTTTCAGTTTCTTTTTGGGCTCCAGAATGGGGGAAGAATTTGCTGTAGGAAGAATATTGGGAAAAATATTCAGTCTTTTTCTTCAATTTTATTTGCCTTGCTGGAAATGAATGACAGGCTGTAGCAGTCAATATGTCACTCACACACGCTCTTACACTCAGACACACTTTTACACAATCACACGTTCAGACACATTCACTCTTACACACTCTTACAAACACACATTCACACTTTTGGTTGTCAAGGATCTGCCCTGCCTCATACTCCTTGTGTCAAGCCACAAAATCCACAAAGTCTCTGTTTTACCTCCTTGTTCTTTTCCCCTGAAGGAAAACAACCTTGTAAATTCTTGTGGCTCTTGGGAGAGGTGGGAGGTGGGTACAGACTTCCCTGGTGGTGTAGCTGCTTTTCATACTTCCCCCAACCTCAGCAGAGTGGGTCTGTACTGCACAGTGCCCGGGAGTGACAACTGCAGCACGTCCCTTCTTGGGCTGGAGGAGTTCACCTGGATACTTCCTTGCAGTATTTCACAGCACATTTAGACACAGCTAAGCAAGTACAATTCCTTGCTCTGGTTCCAAGCTTGGCTGTGCATTTTTAAACATTGTTAGAGTTCACATGAAATTGCTTCCAGCTGCTTTCACAAAGCCTAAATATTGCCAGAGTCCCATATAATGTTCCTTTTCTGCCAGATTGTGGCCTCCTATAGAGAGGTCTTCAAAGACCAGTTTCAACAAAATCAAATTATTTTGGAATATAATTACCTCTCACCCCTTTAAATTTCATAGTTTTCTAAAGAGTTTCCTGTAAATAGATCCCACTCTTTAAAGGAGCCATGCCTTTCTGCAGTGCTGGTGGGAGCCAGCCCTCACCAGGCTCCCCTGCATTAGCAATTCTTGGACAGACAGTGCCTAAGTAGCTTGTTATGTGATAAAACGTCACATTTCTTCTCCCCAGCACTGCTTGTGCTGATATTCAGCTCCTGCAGGAAACCATATGGCTTCCAGAGTCCTACCCACATACCTGGAGTGCCTACGCAGTCCATGAGTCACAGTCACTGTTTGGATGCCCCTTGAGTCATCTGAAAATCTGTGAAATTTCCATGTCTCTTTTCCATGCAATCTCTTAAGAACTTTAGACAGTTATGTATAAGGATTTACATATGTATCTTTTTTTTTTTTTTTCTGTTCTGTTTTTAGTTTCATGGGTGGTAATACACTGGCACTTCTTATTTTGAAGGAAATTGAATCTTGATGAGAGCAGAGCACTGGCTGCAGCTGTCTGGGGATGGGACTGAACTGAAAAAGTTGAGAGAAGGGCTTTGGAGGCAGGAAGTCCAACACACTTGGGCTGCCACCCTTTCATTCTGCTCTGACAGGGCCATACCTGATGACTGCTGACCCTTGGTGTGTTTCTGTGTCCAAAGGCAGCTGCAGTGCTGCCTTCAGTGGGATGTGAGTACTCTGGGGCCCCTGACAAGACTTTGCAGCACTGAGGAATGGCACAGATGGAGCACACTTGGGTCTCCCAGGGCGTTCTGGGGACTGACCCAGGGCAGCAGGGCTTGGGGTAGATGTCTGCCTTTATGCTCCTTCAGCTCCTCAGCTGCAGGGACTCCAGCCTCAGACAAGTCTATCTGCCCTTTATCAATCTCATGACAAGATAATTTTGCTCCCTCAGGACAGCACAGGTGATGTGTAAACTTTGCCTGTTGCTTTTGCTGACAAAAGTAAAGACAGTTTTTTTCTCTTTCCTCTATGATGGGCCAATACTGAAGATGCATTATAGCACAAATTAAAACCAGCAGCCCCAAGGTTTGCTGCAGCAGCATGGAATGATGTAACCAGCCTGCCTGAAACTGCTACTTTTGCAGCTGTAGGCCAAATGCAGGCAGTGTTGGGTGTTTAACAGAATAATCTCACAAGCAGTTGAAGGGGAAGGAATGTGTAGATTGACTGTTCTGCCATGGAGTGTGTGAGCTGACTGTTTGCACTAAAAACATCTATGTCTCCTCATAGGCATTCTGCAACCAAACGGTGTTTCTGTGGCCTTACAGAGCAAGAAAAATTGTCAGAGGTATGTATGAGTGTTTTGTACAGCTGGAAGCAGCAGTCTGAGTCTGTAGAGAACTTCTTGTTGTAATTTAGCTTAGTAAAATTGCCCCTAATGTTAATTAGAGCAAACAATCAGGCTGCTTCACCCTCTGTGAGAGACTGTGCTGCTTTATTCACCCACCCCAAAATGCTGCTCAGTACAGGCAGGGATGTTCCTGTTTCTGTACCTGTGAGAAGCATGTGTGACCTGGAAAGCTGCAAACAAAAGCACTGCTAATTTATACCCCTCCCACCCTTCATTCTGACTGGTACTGTTTAAAAAAATTCACTCACAGATTAACAAAAGAACCCCATGATATTTTTTAAATGGGGTAGTCAACCTGGATAACTTGCTGTATGGTGTTTAGTCAAACAATACTGGTAAAATGAGTTTTAACACTATTTCAGTGAGCTACAAGGTATATATCGTGGTATAAAGTGCATACAGCATATACACATCTGTATGTATGCAAAATGGATGAAGTATGTTCCATAGAAATAGATCAGGAACGTGAAGAGCAGAGCTAAAGGAGCATGAGAGGACAGGAGAGCTTGAAGAGAAGGCTTCACTGAAAGCTACTTCAGTGCAGAGGGTTCTGGGGGGGGTGAACCCCTGACACAGCAGTGCTGTGAGCTGCTCTGCCTGCGGATGGAAACTCGCCACTGAATAGGCAGCTGCTTGAAATACTGGCAGCAGTGTGCTAGCTAATAAGAGGAGGAATAAGAAGTTGAATAAGTAGAGACAAAATTTCCTATCTGAATGTATGCTTCTGCACACACAAGAGAAATGAGCTGAGTGGCTGTTTTTGGGAAGGTTTGTTCTGCAAAGGCTGCTGGAGGGATCAGTATAACAGATCCAAGCCCATGTAATGTACTCCTCTGTGAAAAGAAGAAGGTTTAGGGGTTGTTTCTGGCAGAGTCTGGTTACTGCTTACAGCAAAAGGAATTCTCTGGTGGGTGCCTGTGTCCCAGGAAGACTCTGGCAGCTCCCGAGGGCCCTGCTGCCCTGCCAGCCCCGGGGCCAGCTCAGTGTCAGCAGCACATCACACTACCTGCAGCCCTGCCCCAGCTGCTCCCTGCCTCAGGGCGCTTCTGAAGCTGCCTCTTGTTCAGCCGAGAGCTTAACTGGGCTTGGCTATTTAGGGGAGCTTGGTCTCCAGCTGAGCCTCTCAGTAACTCCGAGGGAATGGTGGTGTCTCCTTACAGTTTTCCAGGATGAGGCCACCAGGAGCAGCGAGCTTGAGATAGAAATGATAAGGCTGGACACTCTGGGTCCCTGCTGGCTTGTGGTATTCCATCTACAGACTAGCAGGGACTCATTTGCACTTCCCAAATGCTTCCTCATCTTTCCTTCTGGTGGTGTTCCTCAAATGGTCTGTGGATCTCTGTAGGATGGACTGCTTTTGTAAATTTTTTGTATGATAAAAGTGCACTAAGAAACCAAACCTATTGTTTCATGACCTTAGAGATGACTCCCCAGCTCTGCACAGATATTGAAAAGATTTTAGGGGTCTGTAAAATAAAAACCAGTGTTCCGCTTTCAATATATATCAGAGCTGAAACTGTCATGGACCGAGGCTGATGATTTCACTCTGACTGTGGAGTGATTTCTTTGGCTTTAGCAGAGATGCTTTTGTGAGGCATTGGACTCTGGCTGCCTGGGCCTGAAGTCTGCTTTCCCCTGCAGCCACCAGCAATGAAATGGAGTTGGTCCATGTGTGAGGTGGTAAAATCTGCAGGGGAGTGTTATGTTTTCCACATTCACAAAAGTACATGTACTTTCCACCCATCCAAAGAGTTTACAGAAATTACCTGCTGCAAAATTTAAAAAAGCAGCAAGTGTTTGTATTGTGTGGAAAAGTTAAACATACTGAGGGCTAGACCAAATGGTGAGGGCCAAGGGTTGGATGTCCTCCTGTCCCCTCCCTGGTGTGGCTGCAGCCAGCAGGGTGCTGGGGAGTCGGGGCAGTGAGGAGCAGGGGAGCAGCAGGACTGAATTCTTCCTGAGTAACTGCAGAAACTCCAAGGAGTTCACCTAAGGAATCAAGTGAGAGCTGAGGTTGCTTTATACCCATGCAACATTGCTTTGATGCTTTCAGTTCTGTGGACCTATACATAAAACAAACACAATGAGTATTTAGCAGCTAATTCTAGCCACAGATATAAAAATTAGCACACCTCAGTTGCTAATTCCTTGAAGGTATGGGCTGCTTCTGATGTAAATATGAGCATGTGGCTTGCTCTGCAGAGACTAGCCACAAAATTTTCATTTTTAGTTACATTTAGCCGAAGCAGACAAAAATAAAATCTGCAGAGGCACAGATGCATCAGAAATTCACTGGAACTACACTGAAGTTGCACCCTGCATAAATAGCCTTAGCAAACAATAATTAACACAGCCAGCATGTTTCCTTGTATTGTTAAAGAGAGTAGAATCAGAGATAATCCCTTCTGAATTGTAATGTAATGCCATATATAATGATAAGATTTTCTTTCTTTGACTGCTAGTTTTGTTTTCCATGATGAAATGCCTTCAGAGATTTTAAATGAACTGTTTGCAGTGAAACTGGATGCTTCCTCCAGCATGTAATAATCATAACCAAATGAGATTTTAATTAATAATTGAATAATCCTTAGTGAGTTTTTGAAATAGAAGGCATGCTCTACATCTGCATGATGCCAGATCTGTGAGAATACTGAGCTGTTTCTGATTAGGAAGCTGAGAAGTCACCCTTGAATCCAGACCAATGATGGTGGACTGAGTCCTTCTCTTAAGCCTACTCTTAGGGCACAGGCCTGGAATTTCTCATCTGTCCTAAAGCAGAAATGTAAATTCAGTGCAGCTTTGGTGAGCAGAATACTATTTTTTGTCAGTAGCTGTTTCTGTTTCATCCTTGATAAGAATAAATATAAAGCAGTAAAAAAACCAAACCCAAAGCTATCAGAGGCTTTATCCTGTCCCCTCCCTTTCACCTTGGAGGAGCTCATCTAGTGTTTTGCTATGTTAGAGATGTCCTCAGCAATCAGAATAGTCCTCAGGACCCCTGACTTTCAACTTCAGTCTTGAAGCTGCACACAGACCAAAACCACCTACCAGAGGACACCAGAAATGTCAAGAATAAAGGCCCAGGAGAAACTCTTAATGAAAATGAGTGTGCTGGAATGAAGCAAACCCAAAATTTAAATAGTTGTATACTGTTTTCCTTCAGTATAGAGCAATTTCAACATAGATGCAGCCCAAATCTGGTTGTGAAGTTTACTTTTCTGTTTAAATACATGATCCAGTCTGTGAGTACCTGAGGTGAAAGGCACCAAGCCTCCAGGAGATGGAAAGAACACCAAGTGCTCAGAGAGGAACATTTTAATGTGTTCACTCTATAGTGATGTGTGACTGTGTCAAGTCCCACCTTGAAACCAGCTCAATTACTTGCCTTCACTTTTCTAGTTGCAAGCAGCCCCAAACCTCACTGCTCTTGTCCCAGGAAGCTTTCTGGGGACCTTAGTTCTTTTTTGTTCAATAGCCTTACTGACCTGAAGGTACCCTGTGAGGCTGTCCACTCTGGAATTCTCAGATTTCCTGCTCTGCCACCTTCTAGTGCAAATTCACCTTAGCTGAACAGAGATGGCCATGATTATGTGAAACTCTAGGTGAGATCTCACTAACTTTTCTTTGTGAGGACCATCAGTACAGCCCTGATCTGCTGTAAATCTCATTCCTGAGGCCCCTGTCAATTATCTTTGCCTTTCATGGCCTTAGTAAGGGCTCACTTTGTTGACTCTTTTTGTTGACTGTTTTTGTTTCTTGGCTCTCTCTTCTGCCTGCTATGACTTTGATCTCTACACTATTCCAACTTCACAGTGGTTTTTTTTGCTGTAGCTTTTCATGTCATCGCATGCTCCTTCTATAAGCTTGTCTCTGTGAAGTATAAAATATATGCTGGTGAAAGAAAAAGGAAAATATTTTACCTCTAAATCTTAATCCACATAATCTCTGCATCCATTTAAAGAAACTTCACTGATTTCAGCATTAAGCAAATATATAAATACAAACCATTCCAGGACAGAGGTCTGCACACCATGAAGTTAATGTTTTATTTGGCCATGTTTCCAAATTATCAGGAAAATGGGACAAGACTTGCAAGCATACACCTGTCTTCCAGCTTTTCTTGTCCCTATGAGTCAGTCTTGGTATCGGACAAACTCGTTACTCAACGCTCTCTGCTGTTGCAGTAGTGCAGTTCTGAGAAGGAGTGTGGTGCAGCCTCTGGTGATATCACTTTTTACCTTGCAAAAGTCACAGTTGTGCACAGTGGAAGATTTTTTTCTCCCAGTAATAAAAATCTGAAAATAAGGAAGGTTGATGGATTGCTTCCAGAAATGCTGTATTTTGAGGACAAAAAGCAAACAAAAGGAATAAAAGGACTGGAATACACTAGTAAACAGCCTTACAGTACATGTTGTCTCTGAGTGTACATGTTTGATTATTGCAGCCAGCTTCCCTGTAGCTTTCTGGACCATCTAGCTGAACCCTTAGACCCATCTGGAGAAGTTAGCTGTCCATACAGCTTTGCCAGCAGCAGCAGAACACTTAGTGTATCCAGAAGTAGTTCTCATTCTGGGAATCTAGTGTAAGCTTTTTGGGAACTTACAACCAGCAAATGTTAACATTTTCATTGACCTCAGCTTGCAACAGTATTTGATTAAAAAATTGGGGCAAGATAAGTGATATAGAAGCAACAAAGCTTAAATGAGCTATCTATTGCAGAGGATTTACTGAAAGGACAAACAAGAATCTGCTTGTGAGTCAGTAACAGGACTTTGAACTCTGATAACTTCTTTTAGAGTCAGTAAGAGTAGGCACGGAGTGCCTACTTTTTCACTTTTGAGAAAAAAGGGCAGATTTACAAAGATTTTCTTCACCTAAACACATATCAAAATGTATCAGAAAAGCTGTGTGGACACTGCAGGATTTGAGTACCACTGAATGATCACTCCTGGAGTGAGTGAAGGGCAGGATCCATTAACTGTGGGCAATTCCTGCAGCCCCTAGGTCCTCTTTATCAGTAGATCCCTGCAAGCTGGACAGTTTCCCAGGTTTCTTCACTGTTCCAGCTCTGCAGTTGTTCATTGTTCACTGGAGGACTCACCCCTCAGCTTCAGTCACTGGCAGCCTCTCCCTTTAATTATTCATAAAATTCTAAACAAGGCTAAATTTTTTTCTTGAATTTTCCAGCTGCATTCCATTTTAACACCACTCTTTTCCTTCACATATCTGTGGTTCATACTTGCTTTTATCCTCCCAAATCATCTACACAAACAAAAACCATTAAAGGGAAGGTGTGCCTGATAATTCAATTACCTGCTCACTACCAGTGAGCCAGGAGGACCAATTTATGCTGACTTGAGTAAATCCTCCTCTCAAGTGATCTCTGCAGAAAACTTCCACAATCTCAAGGAGCAGGGAGTATGGCAGGGCAGGAAATGGGAAGCCTGGGCCCTGTGTACCCATAGCCCAGCTTGCAGCCAGTAACAGGCAGAATGCTACAGATGGAGCCACAATTTGTGAAGGGCAAGCCGGCAGTTTGCTGGTTGTGCTCCTGCTAGTCACTGTCAGAAACTTATTTTTCCAGTTATTGGGTGAGCTCAAATGTAGGTGTTAGCACAGGAAGAAGGAATTTTGAACAAATTTAGCTGTCTGTTATTCCAGGAGAGAGAGGGGTTACTATAAGAGCTCCACACACTCAGTGTATTTCTGCAATGTTCAGAAATACTCAGTGTTTGGTGTGAAGTAGAATGTCTTAATACATTGTGACAAAACAGTTTATTTGGAGAGCGACTTTTAACTTTGAAACAATTATGATTTTGACTCCAATAAAAATCACTGCCAGACTCCCTTTCTATTTTTCCCACTCACCTAATCTATGTGGTACATGTGTCTGTAATCCCAAAATACAAAGAGTTTTTCTCTTTTCAGGTGCACAAATGATGGACAATGTGGTGATAGCAAAGCACGTAACTCTCACCCTTGTGCAAGAGGCATAAGGCTGGGCACAGTCCCATGTTTCCTGCTACAAACACTGCATTGTTTGGGGTGGCAAAACAAAAGTGTCTTGATGTGATATGCTGTGACGTCATTTTGCTGGGCTGCAGGATCGCGTGGTTCAGGCACACCAGTTTGTACTCCAGGGTGCTGAAAATCAGCAGAGTAAACTGAGCTATGGTTAGCAGCTCTGTTTCAAGGCATGCTGGGGTCTGTGCCACAGAGATAAAGAAAAAGCACTTCCATGATATTTACTCCATTTCCATAGAGTGAGAGTGCTTTCTGCCCTTTCTGGGAGAAGGTGCCACTTTACATAGCCTGTGTCTGAATCCCACAGTGAGGTTTCATAGCCCTTTCTTGTGCTTTGTCTGGAGTGCCTGGTTATTTTGGGGGCATCTGTTACATTTTCATAGGATGTGAGGAGTTAATTTATTTTTAGTAGCTGTTGTTTTAATTGGGTAAAGTGATCATACAAAAATCCACAAATTTACTTTCTAAACACTATCCTTAACATTTGGTCAGGCAAACCCCACAGCAACTGCTGCCTTCCTTCCAGGAAAACACTTCTCAAGGGCCTCTAACATGCTCTTTAAAGGTTTATTTCTTGCATCAGGTTTTCACACAGACAAAGTCACTTCATACAACACACCAACCTCTCTGCTTAATTTGACTAGGAAAGTTAAAATAGGCAGGTTATATAAGGATGTTTATCTTTACATCAGGAAGTCAACTAAGAAGCTGTTAAGCTGATATTATATAACACAGCCCTGATTATAGAAAGTGTGGAGGAAGATGGTCTAGGTTTATGCATGTTATATTGGCAGTAATTGTTAACAATTATAATTAATATTGTTTTGTATGCTTTTGTTTTTGATGTTTTGCAGCCTTCCAGAAGATGTTGGAGCATTAGCAGCCAGGCACTGAATTTTAATTGTTTATAAAAATTGTAATTGCACTCTTCTATACATTGAGTACATATATTTATATAAAACATTCTAAATAAGGAAATAGAAGTCTCATATTTCTTATAATGCTCTAGTTCCTGAGGTTGCTGGAATAGTAAAACTCACTCAATGGATAAATCTTATTACGAGAGCAAAAGAAAGACTATTTTGCTGTATACATATGGCACAAAATCCCTAATTGAACAAGAGGTCAAACAACATCAGCACCCACAAACTGCACAATGACAGGGAAAATAAATAGTCTTTTAGACAAAAAGAAGTCCAGTTTTCTCTTACTCTCCCTGTAAACAGGAGCATGTTTATCTACTAGGCATGCCCAGCTGGACTCTCTAATGCTAAGAATAATGACATCCTTGTGTTCTGATGGAGATCGAATTAACCCAAGACAAGTTTCAGTTATGAGGACAAACTGGATATACAGTTCTCAAATGAAAATTATGAAGATTGTGTTACTGGGGAAACTGACTTGTCTGTATTTAAAAAAAATAAAATTAAATAAGCAGAGATGTGTAAGATGATCCCGTAAGAATTCCATTGAGTAGGCTTAATTAAATTTGCTGAACTGTGATTTTTTAAAATAAAACTTTGATTTTAACAACTGAAGATCCCATGTAACAGGCAGCAACTTATTTTACCCATGAGAGTGAAGATGATAGACAAAAGTGAGCTGATATTTCAACTATTAGCAGTACCTATGACAGGCACTTGGCTCTTAGGGTTGTGTGACAGAGTAACTGCAGACTGTATTGGAAAGTGTATCTTTAGTCTTTAGTGGCCTCATGAAAATTTTCCATATATAATAGCTTTTGCAGGGAAAAAAGGACATGTTACCATTCCATGTTGTCATTCAAGTAGAATGCTTCTACAAGAAGTTATTTGCATCTCTTATAATCCACAAAATTACAGATGATAATGAAAAGGTGCTCTTCTGAAAAGACAGCTCCTGGAAGGTAAGGCTCTGGCACACAATCCAAACTTATCAGACATCAGAGAATCCAGATGAGTGGAGGCATAATGAACAAGCTAACATCACTCAGGCTTCGTTCCTTGTTAAGCAGGGAAAATGAGGCTTCATTAGTTTCACTGCTTCCCCAGTTAGCTGTGAAGCATTGCACTGAGTTTGCAGGGGAGTGAAAGCTTTTCTGCCGCTGTCAGAGATCCTTTCATGAGCATCAACTCCCAGTTCTGAATGAATGAGACAAATCACCTACTTTGTATAGTGACTTTGGACTCTTAATCTGACAATCAAGAGAGCACCAATTTTATTGTTCTTGTGTTTTCTTTCATTAGTAAGCCCCACATAAAAAAAGTCTTGAGCTTTACTCTTTATTCTTCAACAGTCAGCATTTCTTTTTACTAAAATTAATACTATAATTATAGTATTCTAGAAATATTCCACCTTATACAACAGTGTCCATCTTTAATTATGAACAGATGTACCTGTATTTATTTAATCTAGTCTACCTTCTGTTGTGATGGAATTTGTCTCAGCTTGTAACTACTGTATTTTTTTGGCCATACTAATAACTGTTAATTCTTGCCATGTGATGATGTCTGCCATCATTTTTTTCTTGGTGTTCTTGTGTTGATTGACATTGTGTGTGAATCTAGGGAATGGTTTTTGAAGTCTCCTGTTCTGAGTTCATTATACCTCTCCAGTTACTGTGTGGGACATCAGCTGCAACACATCCACTGCCACTGCCAGTTTGAGAAGTCCACATTGTCAGCTGGCTCCAGTGGGACTTAGGGGTTCACCAGGTAGCTGGCATGAAGTCAAACCCCCCATGTCCTGCTGCCCTGCCTGTGGCCAAAGTGTGACTGACTCAAAACATAAGAAGCCTGACAGCATTTTTGTTCCTTGTAGTGTGGTGCCAGCTGACCAGGTGATGTTTCTAAGAGCAGAAAGAGCCATTTTTAAAGTGGCAGCTGGACTGCTTTGAGGAGTAAGAGCTGGTGTGGGATCAGGTACAAATCTGTGGCAGAGCTCACTACTGTGATCACTTGCCAGAGCAGGCAGCTGCCAACAAGTTCTGGCATAGTTTCTCAAAGTGGGAAAACATCATCTCTGTTTCACTATAGTTTATGAAACTAGGGTTATTAGGCTCTGACACAGGGCTGCTTTTCCCCACCATGTACAAATGGCATGGGCTAGGATCAGGTGGCTGTTACAGAAGGTTTTCCAGGGAAAAAGCTTGTGCTGTGCTGGCCTCCTTGCTGCCAAAAGCTGCCTGGTTCTGTATCACACATCCCTCCTAAGCAGTATGTGTGCTGCAACAAGCTGCCTGTCCCCGCCAGAGGCCATCCCAGCAGAACATCCCAGGCACGCTCCTGGCAGCAGCTGCAAAAGGGATTTTAAAGGGAAATCTGAGGGCAGTGGGAAAAGGCCACTGGTCACATCCTCAGATGCATCTGAGGACTAAAGTGACAATGGGCTGCTGCTTTGTGTAATTGTCCTGGAGTTCCTACACCAAGGGTAATTTTGGAGCATAGCCAGGGCGTGTTAAGCATAATGCTGACTTCTATACTGACCACATCAGTCACAATTTAGAGTACAAGCTTTTCTGTATGCTGCCTGTAGTGGTTTGACTTAAATGATATTGTTCAAGTTGTGGCACAAATGATGCTCTGGTTCACACTCAGTTTTCCCCTCCTCCAAGGGAACTACACAATTTCCTGGAAGCTGGAGCCTGTAGAAGATGATGTGTAACACAGGACAATTTTGCAACACTGGCTCTAGTTGTAATGTTGCTAGCAAAAAAGTAATCTGCCATTCATGGGATATTTTCTATATGTGCTGGAATTTCAAGCCCACTTTTCATACTGAAGTTTAATACTGTGTTTCTGGTTCAACTGCTTTCAATCAGCAAATACACTCCTAGAACAGAAACAGAAGTGCCGGGAAGCAACATCATTCTCTGAGGTACAATAAAGCTCACCTAATTGCTTCCTGACTTGCTGATCCATCATCCTGACCCCCTCTTTGATGTTTTCTTTCTTTTTTTTTTTTTTCCTCGAGTATTAGTAACAAGTGAGAAATGCTGTCTCAGGGTGTTATATATGGGATTATTTCGCTATCCCCAGCACAGTGACCGTATGTAATGGGATTATCTCTTGTTTAAAATAAAAAAAGACTTGGAAACATCAAATACTGTGTATGAAAAAATAGTTTCTTTATAGTGGTTCCTTTATAGTAAAAAAAGGGTTTTTTTTGTAATAATGCATTTTTGTCAGTCAGCAAAACCAACCAAAATGCTGCAGATGTCTCCTTTCTGCTAGCTAAATTTAGATTGTTCTTCCTCTCCTTCTGTATATATATTCTTCTGATATCAAGAGGGCTATTGCCCCTTTACAGCGCATTTATTGCTGTTGTAAACACTGAAAACTGATGAGGCCAGATGATGGAGGCTTCTGCCAATGTCTCTTCTTAGCCTGCTTTCATTTCAAAATACCTGAACTGGTACCAGCTGGTGCCAAAATTCTGAGATATGAAAATACAACAAGAAAGGAAGAAAACGGGCAATTGTGTGTCAGCACTAAATGTATGTTCTGCTTGCTCCAATGAGATGTGTGAACACTTTCACAGTACATAGCTAAGGGAGCAGGAGAAACTCCTGGCACAAATCAAAGAACAAAACATAGGACTGTTGGGGAGGGAAAAGAGAGAGGCCTTTTCTAGATCTAGGTTAGATCTGTCATGGTGTAAGTTTCCTTAGATTAGGTGTTTGCCAAAGCGAAGTCTGGATCTGACTTTTAGATTTCAAATTTACGAGAGTTGCCCAGGAGGCTCTTTTTAGGTTCTTTGGGTAAGTTCTTGAACATTTTCAGTTGTGCTTAAATCTAACAAGTGTAAATGGAAATGTGAGCTTGGATGAAAGACCAAAAAAAACCCCAACCGAACAAAAAGAAAAACCAAACCAAACACATCTGCAGTATTTGCCTTGAACTTTCAAGTCTCTCTGCCTCTCATACATGTATACCTACAGGGTTTGAAGTGTATCAGATCAGGGGCTCTGGTTGACTGTCCATCTCATTGAGAGAGAAGTTAACATTCCCTCTTAGAACAAGGGATGTCCCTACATCCACCAGCTTTAATATACATTTCCTTTTAGTGGGTATATAGAATATGCTGCAAAGACCATTTAGCTCACATGTTTCTGTCCAAGGCACCTATTTCTATTCTCTGTTACCTCTTTGCCATCTTACAAGAAAACAAGATGTTTTGCCTTTGAAGGTAACTTATTACCATTTCCATGCCACTTTTGATAAAGTAACTATCATTATTCCAACCTGTCCCTGATGTCAGCCTATACAGCCCATTTCTTAAACTGTTCTGGAAGCAAGGCTTTTCATGTTTTCTCCTGTGATGTCCTCTGTTAACTGAGGCAAAGCTATTTCTTTATCTTTCTTCGAGTCCTTCCTCCTCATGCTGGTCTTCCAGGACGACTGAGGGAAAAAGCCCGCAGCTACAGGCGGGTGGCAGTGCTCTGTGTATTACTGACTGTGGGGGTCGGTGAGGTCAGCGCGGTCTCTCAGCCCTCCTGCCTGCCCCATGCCCTGCGAAAGGCGGCCCCGGGCTCCCGGCAGCCGGGCACGGCTCTACCTGCGCTTCTTCACGGCAGGAGCCGCTCCGTGCCCGGCACTCCCACGGCACCGTGGCGGTGCTTTGCTGCGAGTTGCCCGCACACTCCCGCACTCCCGGGACAGGCGGTCCCGCAGGTACCCGGCGCACACCTGGAACGCTCCCGCCCTCCCGCAGCCACGCCGGGCACCACCGCCGGGGACGGCGGCGGCGATGTGCTGCGGGGGCGCTCGGAGCGGGTTCGGCCGGGGCCGGTTGGCAGTGCGCTCCCGGTGCCGGTGCCGGTGCCGGTGCCGGGCGCGGCGGGGCGGGGCGGGGCGGGGCGGGGCGGCCCCTTTAAGGCGGGGAGCGCTCACCTGCCTCCTCCCCCCCCGCTCCAAGGTGCCGGCCCCGCGCCGGGCCCTGATTGGGCGCCCGCCGGGCCCGGTCACGTGGGGGGGGGTGCGCTCCCCCAGCCTCCAGGCCGCCATTTTGGCTGGAAAGTTTGGAATTTCCGAGCGGTGCGGGCGGGAGGCGGCGGGAGCGCCCCGGCCCCGTCCGTCCCGGCCCCGGCCCGCCGCGCCGCCTGCCCCGCGCTGTCCCGCCCGGCCCGGCGCGGCCCGGCCCGGCTCGCCCCGCGTCGCGCCGAGGCGCCGCGGCGGCGCCGGCGGGAGCCCCGCGCGGAGCCGCTCGCTCGCCGGGCGGCGGGGCCGGTCAGGCGGGGCGGCCGCCGCCCCCCCCGCGCCCGGCCGGCAGGGGGCGCCGCCCCCCGCGCCGCCCCGGGCCGCGCTCCGAGTGCGCGCGGCGGAGCCCCGGGGCAGCCCCGGGCGGGACAGCGCGGGGCGCGATGCCCGTCCGCAAGCAAGGTGAGCTCCGCACGCCGGGCCGCGGCCGCCGGAGCCGCCGGCTGGCGGGACGGGCGGGGGGCGGCTGCCGGGAGCCGCGAGGCTGCGGGCGTTGCGAGCGCGCCGAGGGCACCGTCCCGCCCGCGCTCTCCCGGCTGCGAACAAAGGAGCTCCGGGCTGGGCCGGGGCGGTCCCGGCCGCCGGGGCTTGTTGCATCCCCGGGGCTCCTGCCCGGTGCTCCCCGGACAGCCCTGTGCCTGCTCTCCGCTTGCAGATACCCAGCGAGCCCTGCGCCTCCTGGAGGAATACCGCTCCAAGCTGAGCCAGGCGGAGGATCGGCAGCTGCGGAACTCCATCGAGCGTGTCATCAGCATCTTCCAAAGTAACCTTTTCCAGGCTTTGATAGGTAAAGGTTGGCTTCTTTCAGTTCGTGCGCAAGCCGGTCGGTTCTTGCTGATGCTGTCGCTTGTGTTGTTAAGAGCAAAAGGTGTTTTACCCGTAAGTTAGAAGCCATGTGCTTGTCGTTGTGTTTTTGTTTTGCATAGTAACACACGTGTTGTTACAGATCAACAGTTCACTTGTTACACGTACTTTCTTTATTTGAGGCTTTTAACTGGTCTAAACTGCTTACAACTTTGGAATAGTTCTTAATTCTGTGACATGTTGTCCTAGATTTATTGAGGTTGTTTTTCCAGGCATCTTTGTTCACCTGATAAATTTCTAAGGAGGGTGGGGCTTTTTTTCTGTATGTATGTAACAGGTTAGTGAATGAATTGAAATGTTTTTAGTCTAAGGAAGCTGCAATTCCTGTTGAAGAGTCTCTAAAAACATCACAAAGTGTATAACTGAAGTGCAAATTTAACCTAAAATAAATGAGAGGGAACCTCTAATGCTTCAGGGAGTACTAGAGTCTTCTCTTTTGTTGCATATTAAAGTATAGAGAAAGCACTTTTAAATCTCAGTTTACAGTCCTTATAGTCCTTGACTTGATATGTTCCCATAAGTTCTTAGAAGAAGTCGCATGTAATTTTGAATTTCCTGCCGGTCTGTTTGGAAAAAAAAAAAAGCCCTGAACATAAATAGAACTTGCAGAATCCTGTCTTTATTTGGAACCTTCTGCAGAGAAACAATGAGAAGTGGTTTCTTCTTGATTGATTGTCACTATCTTTATGATAGTCAATGTTAGCTTACCCTCAAGAATAAAAGTTGTTCTGTATCCTTGTCTTTTAATAGTAACCACTGTCTGAATCGGTGGGACTAATGGCAAACATTGTAGCTATATTTGTTACTTGACTTACTACGTGTTACTGTGCTAGGGTGCACATCTTCTTTCACAGGGCTGCAGCTTCTTCCAACCTGTGTTCTGGTGAAAGCACAGGGACAGGAAAAGCATAAACATGCATTGCGGCTGAATGCTTTCTTCTGGAGTGTTTATTTTATCTTGTGTAGATTTTCAGAAGAGTGCGGTTGTGATGGTTTTTTTCCTTAACATGGAGTTTCCTGTAGGGTAGTTGTGAAAATAGGTCACTTAAAAGACTTTTCCTTATAGGAACTCTGCATTTCTCTTCACTACACAGTTGATGCTAATCAACTCCATGATGAAGAGTTAACATAATCCTTGTGTGGGACCATGTGAACGGATTCACTCTTTGGCAGATCAGAATGTTGAAATCTCGTGTCAAATATTTAATGTACAGCAGCAGCACTTTTTATTTTCACCCAGAAAACTTCAGTGTTGACTGCCCATTTTTCTTATTCTGGGTGTGTGTATGTATGAAGGTTTTTTATTTTAAAACTCTTCAAGGTCCATGCAGTACTCTTGTTTTCTCCCCTTCATTGAAAAGATACCAATCTGTTAGCCTTAGATATTCAAATTGCAAGATGTAGTTTTTTCCCTCCACATATAAATCTTCATTGTTTATAATTCTACACCTAGTAGTAGTAGTGGACTTGAAAGAGCAGGCAGCCTCATGTCTGCAGGAGCAGAAAGGAGGAATGGGCTGTTGCCTGGGTGGGCTGTGTCACCTGTTTTCTGGAATTGTAAGAAGCTGCACATTGCAACCACAGGACCCCCGTTCTTGTTGAGTTCATCTGTGCCTGCACAGCATGTGCTTCTTGGGCATGTTGCATTAACTTTGCATTTCCTGGGTCCCTGTATGGTAGTTTATTAGATTGCATACATATGTTCCCAAACCATCTGACAGAAGGATGGTACTTGTCAAGCAATTTATGCTGTCAACTTGGGTCTTTCTCCTTTAACCTGCTACTTTCTGTGCAAATGTCAGGGGACTTCTTGTTCCTGGCAGGCTGCTCCTGGCTGTTGTTTTCCTGGAAGCACCTTCTTTTATGGTGTGATTACTGCATGATGGGGGTAAAAAAGAGTGGGGAGACTTTCTGGAAAGGCTGTGATCTGGAGGATGGCTTCAGTTACTGGGAAGACCTTGAGCTGGCTCCTTCTTGTCCTGTTTCCATGAAGATCTGGGAGCAGGCTGGATGAAATGTTCAGTTATGCTGGGGGTTAGGCTTACCTGGAATTCTCTGTTAGTTATTGCTTTATTACTCAATTTGAGGTGTGCATTTTATAGAAGTTGTGATGTGCTCCCAACTGAAATAGCCAAGTGATGTTCTCAGTGAGGCTCAACTATACTGAGTTATTGCTCTTGTAGATCCTTCTTCCAGAAAGTGTGCTACTTTTAGTTTCTGGTTTGGGTGTTTTTTTTTTTTTTTTTTTAAATAGAACAAC